TTATCTCAAAGTTTTACATATATGTGGACCTCTTTTCATTGTTTTTTGTAGGATTTATATACTTAGTTTGATGTCTATATATAAACAACATAAAATGAGATTTAAAAACAATTCTCACATTTGATATTAGTCCAAGAAGTTTGGTCTAGTAATTTTATAGCATCAAGTATGCTACATCCAAATATATTGTCATTTATGGTGATTTATCAACAAATTCATTTAAAAATAATGAGTTATTGGTTTCATAGTTATATATATAAGGTTTGTAATTTTAATTGGGTTTCTGCTATTTTCTCACAAATTAATAGCCCTTCTTTTTAATTCAGAAAATCTCACATAGATCTTTTATTAAATCAGGATCCCTTTTAATTTATATGATTCTAAAAAACTCAACAGATCAACGCAAATTAAATTAAATAGATAACATAACTTATTAATCACATTTTTATATAGCTATTAAATTAGTTAGGTAATAAATATTTATCTAAACATATCATATATCTTATATAATCACAAGTAATTCATCTAAATCATATAAGTTAGTTAAATAAAAGTCAATTTTATAGCATTAAACATATTCAATTAATGATAATTTTGAGTATCTCAACAAGTTATCTATGATTAAAACTTTAGTTTGATGTATATAAAATTAGAAGACAACAATTCATTGCTCTTAATAGGTATTTAAGACATTAATAAAGATTTATTATTAATTTTTAATTAAGTATCATTTCATGGCATAATTGATATATAATACATAACAATTCTATATTAACATATTCCTAATATATCTTTTTTATTGGATGATTATGGAAATATCTAAACTAGTTCTCTTAGGTCATTGAAAGAAATTCAATGAAAGAAACCTAGATAGCCCCTACAAATCTTCATAAACCCTTTGCTAGAGCATTATGGTTATCTCCTTCACTGTCATTTTTTCTTTATATTGGATTATAAAATAATTTTTCTATCTTAATTATTATATTTTTAAATTATATAACATTTACATAATTTAATAAGAAACCTTGAGTTGCATTTAAGTGGAATTAGATGAGAAAATAATTTTACAATCCTAGAATAAAAAATAAAAATAAAAACACACATGCCCTATTTAATATTATAATCATTCAACTATAAAAAAAACACAATTACATTAGTTTTAAAATTTTCATAATCATCCATCATGCATAATAGCATATTAATATACATAAATAAATATATTGCATGCTTTAATTTTAATTATTCATTTTATGTGTATTTAAAAAAATTATATTTCCAACATTTAGAAATATTAAATCATTTCAATTTGCTATTTCTTTAAAACTTAATAAATTTTATTTAATACATGTTTTTATTTGATTTTTTTCAAAATTTAATAAGAAACTTAATCATATTAAAATTCTTATTAATATCCTAAACTATTTTAGGATTAATTAAATTAAAATTTCCAACTTAAAAATTCTCTTTATTTTAGAAAAAAATTTCTATAAATTATTTAATTAAAAATGTAATTAAATTCTAATCCTATTAGGATATTACAAAACTAAAAAAAATTGAATTAAACATTTTAATTCAATCCTAATCTTATTAGAAAAATTATTTCTACTATTAATTTAATTTAAAGTTTTAATTTTAAAAAATAAAATCAGTATTTTGTATAGAGGAGCAAGATCATAATTCTACCCCAAATATACCCTAGATGTTATTAAGTATAAGTTGTAAGAATAGAATCATAATTCTACCCCTAAAAACTCTAAACACAGCATAAGGGCAGAATCATAATTGTGTCCCTTCTTCTCCTTGTAGTTGCCAGCAGCGGGCACAGTACCCATCACTAGCAGCGTGCCTCGCAACGGTAGCCTTGACTGCGCTAGGCCAAGCATAAGAGCATGGTTGTCAAAATCGTGATTCAACTCGTAAAATCGTACGTTTTTACGAGTTGATGTAGGCTTTACGTGTTAAATCGCTTGTAAAACTCGGAAATGGGTAAAATCGGATCAAAATCAGGTAAAATCGTTAAAATCGCGTGAAATCGCGATTTCACCACCAATTTAGCGATTTTACTCGCAGGAAAAAAAAGCCATGTATCTGCCACGTGTCGACCGCCTATTGGCTTTAACAAAGCAAATGCAATGTTTCTCTTCAGTCTTCTTCGCATTTCAGTTCATCATTCACGTTCAGAACAAAAAAAAATCCCTAAATTGAAATCCCAAAATTCCAGCCGTCCCTAAACTGAGGATTCCTTAGTGACTCAGTCTCTATCTCTTTCTCTCAGCCGTCCACGATTCCAGTATTCCACAATCACCGTCCACTGGTACTCCATAACAGTCATCGCCCCTCATCGACGACGTCCTTTTCACCAGCCACCGTAAGAACCAGAGTCCACCCAACAACAACGGTGTCTCTCCAGTCTCCACTAGGTAAGTTACTCTGTTTATCTTGTTTCTCTGGTTCTCTCTTCTTTGTTGGTAACTACCAGCGGCTGGGGGTGCTTTTTTTCCCCTGTTCGTTTCTTACTCTAATGCAGTAATACTAATATTTATTTGATTGGATTCGCAGGCTCCAAGTTTGACTGCAATATTGATCTCCTTGGTGCTCACTGCTCAGAACAGAGGTAAGAGTTTCTTACCTTGTTTGTAATCTGTCGTGACTGTTATTTAGGACCATTAGGTGCTTTAATCTTTTCAGTTTAATGATGTTAAAGATTGAGATTTTGATTCAAAGTTTCTGTGACTGTCTATTATTGAGATATTGCCTGCGAATTTTAGATTCAATTTTAACTATACGGTATGTGTGTGTGAGTCTGTGACTCTGTTTTTTCACATAAATCAATTGTCTCTGTTTCCTAATCTGAACAAGTTGGAGTCAGGTTAGTAATCCATGTGCAATTTCGTTAGTCCTTGTTAGTTGGGTGTAATCCACGTGCTGATTCTAGTTGTAATCCATGTGCTGATTTCATTAAAAACCTTAGTTTAGTAGTTTTGGTTCAATTACCAAGCAATCTGTTTAGTCCTTGTTAATTGTTAGTTGTTACCTCATCTGCAGTGCTGCAATGCCTGTGATTGGCTAGTGAATTGGGCTGTGAAGCCTGTGATTATGTTGAAAATGCTTGTTTCTTCTGTGTGCCTATGTACCAGCACCCAGCATGCAACGAAGTTTTATTACCTGTTTGATGAAACTGAAAAAGAACAGAGCAAAAGATACAATGAAGTTTGTGTTTTCTGTGTTCACTGTTCAACTTCGGGTTTTCCTAGTTTTGGGCTGCGAATTATCTGGAGGGTTTCTGTCTATCGAGCTTCGAAAACCAAAAAAGAGCAAAAACCCTTCAAAGCCTAACCGACGGGTCGTTCACTTTGTCGTGTTGGCCATCCTTCCAATAAAGCTTCCTCCTTTATCATACTTTTTTTCTTGCTATCATGTATTGGGTGTTTGATGTTTATGTTTCTTGCCCTTTTCTTCTGGCTTTTATTTCTTTTTTTTTTTTTTGAAGCTGTAACAGTTACCTTATATGTATAAAATGTTTGGATTGATTACAGGGTTGATTTGAATTGATTCTTGAATTGTTGAACTTATGGCATCTAGGAAAAATTCTTCTGGTAATAGGCTTGATGTGGGATGGCAACATGGTATAGATATTGATAAGAATTCTAGAAAAGTTCAATGCAAGTATTGTCAAAAAATTATCAGTGGAGGTATTTTTCGTTTTAAACAGCATTTGGCTTGCACTCGTAAGGATGTTGAACCATGTCAACAAGTACCAGAAAATGTTAAGCAGATGATTTTAGATGTTTTGGTGAAAAATCTAGAAGCAACTAAAAAGAAAAGAAAGGCCCATCAATATAGTGTAAATGATGATGATGATGATGATGAAATAAAAGAAATTAGCTCCAAGGACAAAGGAAAGAGAGTAGCTAGTGGGAGTGGAAGTACACAAACAACTCTAAATCAATTGCTAAAAAAAGATATTAGAGAAGAAGCATGTCGACAAATTGCAAGGTTTTTTTACACTAGTGCAATTCCATTTAATTGTGTAAAAAACCCTGAGTTTCTTAAAGCACTTGAATTGGTTGCAAAGCATGGGCCAGGTTTCAAGCCTCCATCCTACCATGATATTAGAGAGAAGTATTTGAAGCAAGAAGTTGACCAAACAATGAATTTGCTTGAGGATTATAAGCTAGAATGGAAAAAAATTGGTTGTTCAATAATGTCTGATGGATGGACATATAAAAAAAGACGTTGTATTTGTAATTTTTTGGTTAATAGTCCTAAAGGGACAGTTTTTTTGTCATCGGTGGATACTTCTAATATGTCCAAAACTGCTGATAAGGTATTTGAGATGTTAGATGCCATTGTGGAAAGGATTGGGGAGGAAAACGTTGTCCAAGTAGTCACCGATAATGCTGCAAATTATAAGGCAGCGGGACAATTATTGATGGAAAAAAGAAAGTTTGTTTTGGACACCATGTGCTGCCCATTGTATTGACTTGATATTAGAGGATTTTGAGAAAAAGTTAGAGATTCATCAAGTAACTATTGCTAAGGGGAGGAGAATCACTTCATATATTTATTCAAGAACTATTCTTATTTCCATGCTAAGACACTTTACGAAAGGAAGGGATTTGATTAGGCCTGCTGCCACACGGTTTGCTACTGCATATTTAACTTTGGGATGTTTGAATGATCATAAAATACAGTTGATGACTATGTTTACTTCCAATCAGTGGAGTTCATGTAGGTTTGCAAGAATAGAAGAAGGGAAACGAATTCAAAATTGTGTTTTGGACAGCAGGTTTTGGCATGATGTTACTATATGTATTAAGGCAGCGTATCCTCTAATTAAAGTTCTTCGATTAGTTGATTCTGATAAGAAACCAGCTATGGGTTTTATATATAAAGCAATGGATGAAGCAAAAGAGAAGATACAAGTGAATTTTGGTTCTGTGAAGAAAAGGTATATATCTTGCTAATTTCTATTTTAAATGTTGTCATCTATTAATATGAATGTCTTTAGAGATACTTTCAATTGAGATATTCCTTGAGTGTAATGATATTTTTATTGTTTTTTTTATATATAGTTATATACCTATATGGAATATTGTTGATGCAAGATGGGAACTTCAACTCCACAGACCCTTACATGCAGCAGCTTATTATTTGAATCCTCATTATCATTATAATCCCAATTTTAAGGTTAATGCCAATATTAAAATTGGATTATATCAATGCTTAGAAAGGATGGTGCCTAATGCAAGTGAAAGGTGCAAAATTGACTTGCAACTTGAATCATTCAAGGATGCAAAAGGGTTGTTTGGCATTGAGGCTGCCAAGACAGCAAGAGATAAAAAAACTCCAGCTCAATGGTGGGATTCTTATGGAGATGAATGTCCAGAATTACAAAGGTTTGCAATCCGAGTTCTAAGCTTGACTTGTACTTCATCTGGATGTGAGCGTAATTGGAGTGCATTTGAAATGGTGAGTTTTTTTATTTTTTTATTTTAAATATTAAAATATTTGATAAAAATCTTATAAATTTGAATTGAATTATTTATTTAGGTTCATACAAAACGAAGAAATCGTTTGCACCAGAGAAAAATGAATGACTTGGTATTTGTAATGTGTAATTTGAAATTGAATAATAATCAAGTCAAAAAGCAAGCGGATGATTTTGGTGTAGAAGATGATCTTTCATCTGATGATGATTGGATAACCGAGGGAGAAAAACATTCAAACATTGATTTGCTTGGTGCTATTGACAATGCAACACGAAGAAAAAATGGTAATGAAGATGAAAGTGATGAAGAAGAAATTCCTAATGATGCTGAAATAGAGAGTCATGGTACTGAAGATGATTTGGATATTCAAATTGATGATATTGGTGTTGGTACTAGTAGTAGCACTAATGCTCATAATATTGGTGTTGGTACTAGTAGTGACACTAATAATCCTCTTGATGCTAATGATATCGATGAATGTATGAGGAATAATGAGGAAGATGAAGGCAATGAAGCTGGTTTTAGTTTACATGACACACCAGCAGATTATTTGTTTTAAGTTTGTTAATTATTAGCTAATGAATAGTTATTTAAATTATGTATGGATTTTATTTGAATCATGTATTTTAAGATGCTTGAATTATGTATGGATTTTTATTTGAAGCATGTATTAACCATGTATTTTATGGTGCTTGAACTATGTATGAATTTTTATTTGAAGCATATATTTTAAGGTGCTATGAATTTTTATTTGAAACATAATTTTTTTTAATGTATTTTAAATTTACTTACGATTTTACGATTTTACGATCCGTTTTTACGATCCGAGTTTGGTTTGCATGTTCCGTGCCGTGTCAAAATCACGATTTTAACAACCTTGCATAAGAGCATGTGGTTGCTCTCTATTCATCCCTTATGTGAGGCAGCTGCCTCGCGCAAGGATGCTAGCAACAGCACTAGGCGTTGCTCCTGGTAGGGAAGCAACCTTATTGCCTTATGCCAGAGTCTGGGGTCGCCGTTAGTGGAGGCGTGGCCACTTAATTATTATTATTATTATTTAATTCCGACCAGACTGAAAAATATATGGCCACATTTGATCGAAGGATTAAAATACAATAATGATATTTTTTTAAAATAATTTTAATTTACAATCAACACCAATAAACTTAAAACATGCAATTAATAATTACTCTAATAATATTATAATCCTAAATAAAAAATTAAATTTAATAATTAATTAATATATATTTGAAGATCAAGTACAATGTTTAGCAACATACCATGATCCCCATATATTAGAAAACTCATAAGTGGTTTAACTTAACCTTTCAATGATCAGTTTCTTAATATAATTATTATCCTTTCATAAAAAAATTCTGATTTAGACATTATAACATGAAATATGTCTACTTTGTTAAATCATTTTTGTTTTCAACACTATATTTATTGATTCTTTGATTAATATTTAAATCTTTTTTCAAATTTTATTCCACATCAAATAAGATTTTACAATCAATATTATTTGAGAAAAAATAAAATATTTTTTCTAATTCATCCAGGGTGATGGACCCTTCTTGATTACTTAAACACCTTGATATATTTTATATTATATCAAATATCTATTCATTTATTACCCTAAATTATTATATGTTTAGTTAGAATCAAAGTATAACACTTCTTATATAAGATATCTTAATGATTTTAAGTTTAAAGATCATTTTACACAATTGTCACGTAAGTTTTTTCACATACATAAATGATTTCCACATATAAAATTTTCATATGAATCAATTCAATGTACATGTTATCTAATAAACATCTACATATTAGTTATAGGTCTTCCTCGTATTCTAGCTTATAAAAGTAGTTGTTTTTTATTTATAAAAGAAATAATATAATATGTACCGATCTCATCAATTATAGTCAAGTCTTAATAGAATATTGACTATGAACATTTAAAAACAATGCTAGATTTATTAATCAAATATAAATAAATATTATAGATAAAAAAATATTTATTAATAATAAATATATTTTACATGAATAAAATCTGCGCTATATGTAATAGATTGATTAACTATATAATATGTTCGCCAATATTTTTCTTTTTATTGTTAAATTTTCTAGTTTTTTGGAACTTTTAATGTTTCTTTTTTTTTTTCTTTCTGATCATGAATTTTAGTTTTCTATCTTGTTTAGATTTTTTTTTAAGGTTTATTTAAGGAATAGTAAACAAGTGGAGACCATGTTTTATATGGTAAAACCCTACTCCACATAATTATGTTTTATTATTTTTTGTTGTTTTCGAAGGCTTGAGGGTTCAATAAAAAATGACCTGTAGCCAGGTGTTAGGCTTTAGCATATTCAGCAAAATGAAGAAACTAAATCATAGGTCATATCTATTCCTTTGTGATGGAATGTAGATTACAAGCATCTTAAAAATCATCGTTGCCAGCTCCTCTCCTAACATACATCGGTGTTCCTCTGCTCCTCAAGAGATTTTAAATTTGAATCTCTCCTCTGTAACAAAGACAGAAAGAAAATAATGAAATGAAAAAAATAAAGCTTCAAAACTATTTTCCAGGTTTCAGATGTGTCCTGTTTCCAGGAAATAACATGAACTTTCATTCCGACAACGAGACGCAGAAGATATTCCCTGGAGCTCCTTCCCTCCCCGGCGGTGGTCACAGTTACATAGGACCATCCTATTTTACGAAGTTCTGTGCAGAACTCTCTCGGCGGCTTCCTTGACTTACAAGTGGCGCCACCAGCACCATCATATTGACTAAAATATTCCGCGTGAGGTAGCTACCTCAGACAAAGCTTTTGTTTTAGTGGGCATCAAGTGGGCAATAGCACATGAAATGATAGCTTTGAAATGTAAAAAGTGGAAAGCACGAGAGAAACAAAATTGAATTTTTGTTTGCGCATTGTCGGCGCTAAACTCGCAAAAAAAGTAGAAGAAAAAAAACCAGACACTCCCCGGTCACATTTCAGTAAAAAGCCAAGGGCATGATCTTACATGCATTGAATACGCCTTGCCGGCCACATCACTTAAACATGCAACATGGATTAAGAAATTGAGATAATCATAAAAACAATTATAATAAATTATGAAGTTCAGCATCTAATAAATCAATGATAAAATTATAAAAAAAAATATAAATTTTATTTGAAAAAAAAACAAAAAACACCAATTCACAAAACAAAACAAATAGAATGAGAACAAAACTGGAATATCTTGAGTGGAATTTGGCTGCATTATTTTGTTTTTTAAAATGATATAAGATATTGGTTATTCTCGGCATAATGTAATGGAAATAACATCCTTGTATACAACATGATGATTAAGATTTGAGATTTCCATCAAAAGATACAAGTTCAAGCCCTTGAGAAAGTGAGATGAGATTTAGAGATAAGATAGGACTACTCTCCTTTTAGTGGCAAAACTAGAGAAAAATAATTGGGAGGAGGGACAACGTGAAAAACCTGAAAGGTCAAAATGAAAATAAATAAAGGAGATAAGTTCACAATTATAATAAGTGAACTTTTTATATTGACTTAATTGGGAAAATAATAAACACAAGGATGAGATCAAATAAATAAAACACCACCAAAACATGTAAAGGGATACAGAGAAAAGAAGACAAACGTATATAGAAGCTGCATTTAAGCTGAAAAATTAACACAGCAACATATTAAAATTGAGGAAGAAAATTAACCCAGGCGAAGTAAAAAGCACAGCTTGTCCACAATAGAAAACAGCAGGAGCATAGAAGAAATGATTGAACAAATGGGGCAAGCAAATGTTTGGCAGTTAGGTGGTAGGGAAACATCGACCATGCATGGATAAAAACATACGAGCTTGACATGACATAGATAAGCTTTGGAAAGGAAATCTATGGCTGTTTATGTCTCTATTTGTCTTAATTATGTAGAATCTCCAACATATGAGACCCTTGTGGACAACCTCTTTTTGTAACATTCGAAGGCTTTGTAAGATTGACACCAAGCTGCCGGGACCCCTGATTTTCTTATGTTAAACCAGTTCTTTCAGAACTTTATAAGTACTAGATGCACATGGTCATTATAGTAGGCAATTGGATAGTTCATTTTCACTTAATCACACCAGCTGAGGTAATTAGCAAACTGTTGGATGAACCTTGAATTTGTGAGTGCATTCAAAAAACCTCAAGATTGAAGACTTAATTGATTTTCATTAGGTCAGGCCTCCTTAATTAACTATATTTTAGCAGTATATGTTTTGTTGCTCCCTTCCACACACACACAGAGACGCATATATTAAAAAAACACCAGTTTTGGAGACCAAATTGGAGGAAATACAGAAACAAGAGTAAGGCTGCCAAAAATTAAGGGCAGCGAGTGAAAAAAAAGCAAACAACAAAACAGACTAACCGAAGAGATGTAACCATGGAACAAAACTTGAGGTTCATGACAGAGCTCATGAGGGGTGCAGAAGCAATGATTAATAAGAGCTCTATATATTTGTTTCTTTAATTTCGTAAAGCAATATGCATGTACTTTGCAAATCTCTAGCTAGAACATTAACTTGTAGACACATGAGATTCATTTGATAAACTGAACTTCTTTAAATTGCATTTAGGATTTCATAGTTCAGAATTTGAGATAAAAAGAAAAGTGTTCTAATGTCCTATCCCAGAAGCATTTGATCATTTTTTATTTCACAGAATGTTCATAATTAGTTTTTAATTAGCCTACATATATCATTTAGCTACAATAGGAAATTTGACAGTTACCTGAGACTCTTGTATGCATCACCGATTCTTGAAATATCAGTGAGAGGTACGTGGAAGGCTTCTGACCATGCGAGCTGCCTCAAACAAGTGGCTCTAGGGTTTCCCCATCTGTAACTATTTGCAGACAAATTCAGAAAGTTGTCTTCAGCCTTTTCTCTGAACGGATGTTGGAAAGCCTTCCTTTGCTCGTATTGAAGGCTCCTCAACATCTCTTGTGGAATCCCATGATTGATAACTTGAAGGAATCCCCATTCACTTGCAGCCTGCTGTATCTCTTTTACACATTGCTCTCTCTCTGAGTATTCAAGTGTCAAACGATGAAGATCTATGAGAGGCAGCTCACACTCATCATTAGCATTCATTAGACTATCATCCTTGTCTTTCGATGCTATGGTATAATCGTTGAAGAGGGATTTGTATGTCTCTTGAAATGGAGGATCCATTTTTATGAAGGGAAAGATGGGACGGATGAGGTAAAGGAAAGAATGCGATCCTTGTCAAAATTGAAGATATAAGACGTGTAATCCATCAGTATAAATAGAGCAAGAAAACTTTTGAGTGCAGTATAGTACAAACTTGGTAATGGCATGCAACCGCTTATGGCAACCTGCGGTGCTTGCACGCATTGGCTGTACCCTGTTGTGTAACCAGACCTATTCATAGTCTAGAATCGATGCCCTTTGATATTTAGGCCGATCAATTAAGATGTTTTAGGAAATAATACATCTGTTTTTTTGGGAAGAAATACAAATCATTTCGAAAAGAAAGGAAACTGTTTCGGATATGGAAGGTGCATTGTAGAAAATTCTTTTCATCCAACAATATATATTTGTGAATATATACCACAATCCAATCTGGATTCAAGTCTGAGTATTTATTTTGAATTCAACTATGTAAATTAGGTAAAAGAAAAA